GTATTTTATCAACCTTCATGTCTGGGATTTCTTTCACAGGAGGGACAGCCCAGTGACTGCCTCAGATCCCATTAGCGTTACCCAGTAAAAAGTGTGTGCATATCCCACAAAGCCTTGTTCTTCCCCACTGCTTCAGGCCCAGCCATGTAGAAGAGGAAATGGAGACACAAAATGCAAGTTTACCAACAGATTTTGTTCTGCTGGGACTCCTGCACCACACCAAAGCTCACTCCTTTTTCCTTGCCATCATTTTGCTTGCCTTGGTTACTGCTGTGTCTGGGAATACTCTCCTCCTCCTTCTAATCCAGGTGGATTCCTCCCTTAACACCCCCATGTACTTCTTCTAAGGTCAATTAGCCTTCATGGACATCTGTCAGAGCCTGATTGTAGTCCCCAAAATGTCAGCAGACTTTCTGACCCCAGGAAACTCAATTTCTCCAGTGGGTTGTGGGATTCAGATTTTCCTCTCGCTGACAATGGGTGGAGCAGAGTGCCTCCTCCTGGCAGTCATGGCTTACGACAGGTACGTAGCTATTTGCCACCCCTTGCAATACCCTATCCTCCTGAGCAGGAGAGTCTATCTGTGCTTGGCAGCTGGGGCCTGGACTGGGGCAGCAGCAGACGCCTTGATCCATTCAGTTTATACCACACATCTGCCCTACTGTGCTTCAAAATCTATTGACCAATTCTTTTGTGAAGTCCAATCCCTGCTGAAACTGTCCTGCTCTGACACCTCCCGATATGAGACTCTGGTATTTGTGAGTGGCATCCTCCTGCTCCTCATCCCTTCTTCCATCATACTAGCATCCTATACTCACATCCTCTCTACCGTCCTGAGGATGAAGTCAACCAAAGGACAGCAGAAAGCTCTGGCCACCTGCTCCTCACACCTGACTGTGGTGGGCATGTTTTATGGTGCTGCCATCTTCACATACATGAGGCCTAATGCCCCTCGCTCACCAAAACAAGACAAGGTGGCCCCTGTGTTTTACACCATCGTCACCCCAGTTCTGAATCCACTCATCTACAGCCTCAGGAACGGGGATGTCTTGAGAGCCCTGAGAAAGCTGGTTGGGAAATACAGAGTCCTCCAGCAAAACTGACAGAAGTTGCTAGTCCATGGGGTCAAATTACAATCAGAAAGCCAGCAGGGTTTTATGGAATATTTAGGAAGTGACTACATTTTTAAAAATAGCTTACCTGGCTAATGGTCTACATCCCACTGGAAATCAGGGGCACAAAGACTCTCCTATCACGCACTTCTTTGGAAGTAGCTTCAAGACATCATCCCCACTACTATAGGCCATTTATCTAGGCATAGTGATTAGTAACCTTTTGCTTGTGAGCACTACAGCTTACAACCCAGGCATGGCTGCAAGATCCAAGCCTTTCCCCCTGGAGTGA